ATTATACCGATAAACTCGTTATACCGATGCAAATGGCCGGTGCCACTCGTATCGGTATAAAGAGGTTTGACTGTACTCCTAAAAATTAAGTCGATCATGGGCTGCGGACTCACCACGGCAACTCAAACCCGATACTACCGCGGAGCACGGAGGAAGATTTTATCACATGATTGCTGCGGCCGATTCCTCGTCCGTAACAGTACTAAGAAAAAGTAAAAATTTCAGATCCCATTTAGTGTAGTGATTGTATCCAATAAATGCAGCTGATTATAGAGTGTTTTAGTACTAATTTCTATCTGCTGCAGTTAATGTATGTCCAATAAAATATACAATAAGATATGTTGTGTGGCAGATATTATAATTCTGAAATTTGAAACACAGTTCAAAAAGAATATCTCACTGTCTAACTCATGTTCTTAGAGTATTAATCCATTATCTCTTCTCTCTCTCACTTTCTCTAGCTTTCCCATGTTCTCAGTTATTAAATACTCTATCTCCCTCTCTCTCCCTCTCTCTCATGTTCTCAATTAGTCTCTCTCTCTCTCTCTCTCTCTCTCTCTCTCTCTCTCTCTCTATCTCTATCTCTCTCAATTTCTCAATTAGTCTCTCTCTCTCTATCTCTCTCAATTTCTCAATTAGTCTCTCTCTCTCTCCCCCCCACTCTTCCTCTCTCTCTATCTCTCTCAATTTCCCAATTAGTCTCTTTCTCTCCCTCCACCACTCTTCCTCTCTCTCTTCCTCTCTTAATGTGGCCTCAATGCTAGTTTTTGCATAATAATACTTATTATTATAGTGTCTTAACCTTTCCTCAATATCAGTTGCTTTATGATATAGTCTAATTGCCATGTAAGCATTTTTTTCTACTCCAATTCCATATTTATAGCAATAACTCAGGTAATACTGTGCATTAGCATGTCCTTGATGTGCAGCTTTTTTAGACCACTCAACTGCTTTCTTAGCATTTTTCTCTACTCCAATCCCAAATTGATAACAATAACTGAGCCTATACTGTGCATAAGCATTTCCTTGTTCAGCAGCTTTTTGATATAGCTCAACTGCCTTTTTAACATCTTTCTCTATTCCAATGCCATATTGATAGCAAGCACCAAGGTTATTCTGTGCATCTGCATGTCCTTGGCCAGCTGCCTTTTGATACAGTTCAACTGCCTTCTCAACATTTTCAATCCCATATTGATACACATAAGCAATTTGATACTGCACATCAGCAGATTCTTGACCATTCATGAGTATTGGTATGAATACTATTGTTAATATTGCTGCAATCACTAATAAATAAATACTAATATTGTGTAAAATACTGGCAATGGAATGTCTTTGTTCAGCTACATTTTTAGTACCTTTTTCTAATTCAAGTCTATAATTATAACAAACACCAAGATTATTCTGTGCATTAGCATGCCTATTACTATGTTCAGTTGCTTTTTGATACAGTTCAATTGCTTTTTCAATATTTTTTTCTACTCCAATCCCATTTTGATAACAATGGCCAAGGTTGTACTGTGCATTAACATGTTGCTGTTCAGCAGCTTTTTGATACAGTTCAACTGCTTTCTTAGCATCTTTTCCTATTCCAATTCCATAATGATAACAAACACCTAGATTATTCTGTGCATTAGCATGTTGTTGTTCAGCAGCTTTTTGATACAGCTCAACAGCTTTTTCATCATCTTTTTCTACTCCAATGCCATTTTCAAAGTAATAACCAAGACTATCCTGTGCATCAGCATGCTGTTGTTCAGCTGCATTTTGAAACCACTCAACTGCCTTCTCAACATCTTTCTCTACTGCAATGCCATTTTGATAACAGACACCAAGATTGTACTGTGCATCAGAATGCCCTTGTTTAGCTGCTTCTTGATACAATTCAACTGCCTTCTTGGCATCTATCATTACTCCCATTCCATTTTGATAACAGACACCAAGGTTATACTGTGCATCAGCATGCCCTTGTTCAACTGCATTTTGATACAGTTCAACTGCCTTATTAGCATCCTTTTCTACTCCAATTCCATTTTCAAAGCAGTAACCAAGACCATCCTGTGCACCAGCATGTTGTTGTTCAGCTGCATTTTGAAACCACTCAACTGCCTTCTCAACATCTTTCTCTACTGCAATGCCATTTTGATAACAGACACCAAGATTGTACTGTGCATTAGCATGCCCTTGTTTAGCTGCTTTTTGATACCACTCAACTATTTTCTTAACATCTTTCACTACTCCAATTCCATTTTGATAACAAAAACCAAGGTTATACTGTGCATCAGCATGCCCTTGTTCAGCAGCTTTTTGATACAGTTCAACTGCCTTTTCAGCATCTTTTTCTACTCCAATTCCATGTTGACAATAATCACCAAAATTATTCAGTGCAAAAGCATTATTTCTTTCTGCTGACAATTTATAACAGTGAGCTGCTTGATGAATATTCCTTTCAACTGATATTTCATATGCATAGGAAAATCCAATCAACCAAAAACATTGTCCACAACCATCATGGTTCTTGAAACTTTCAACAAAATGGTAATGCTGTTGATACCATCTATTATCATCATGTAGTAACCAGTCTTTAATTGAATCAGCCACCTTATCTTGACTTTTCCTTTTTAATATTTCTTCATTGTACCTGCTTGACAACAGGTCAGAAAATGGATGTTCTGAGGACATTATGAGTTGAGATATCATGCCAAAAATCTGCTCACATGATGGCCTTCTTTCAGGCTTATCATCCCAACATGCTGAATATAGTGCAACATATTCTTCAGGGGTTCCTGGAAGTGGAGAATCCCGACTACCATTTAATCTATAAATTATAATTTCATCCTCTCTCTGGAGCCCATTACATGGTTTCTTCCCACCAGAGATTTCCCATAATACCACCCCCAAGCTAAATATATCTGACTTTTTATCCCGTCTAGTAGAATGATCATTTAAGCATCTGGGGTCAAGATATGGAAGGGTTCCTTGAATGTTTGAACAGCTTTTTTGCTGCAAAATCAAGTCCGATAAGCCAAAGTCTATTATCTTCGCCACACCAGCATGAATCAGAATATTTTGGGAAGACTAATAACAAAATTGTAAATTAAGCTAAATGATATAACATATTAATATAAAAACATTGAGATAGTTACCAGATCTTTATGTAAAATATCAAGTTGATGAAGATATTGCAGTCCGTTAATGATATCAGTACCAAGCTTGCATCTCGTAAGCCAGTTCAATTCGACAGATCTATCTGATAAATAACATTTTAATGAACCGCCGTCAGCATATTCAAAAATCATAACATATCTCCCTAGCCGATCTTTTGATTAAGGTAATAAAGACTTTGTTAATATTATATTCCATGGGTTATGTCGCAAATTAAGGGCATTCGACGTTTACCTTCACTCACTCCGAAAAATCTAATGATGTTCTGGTGGACACCGACCATGCAATGAATCTTCAGCTAAAAACATAAGCAATAAATAATTTAAGTAAACAATAATATGCATCATAATCATTACTATAATTATCAACCTCTTTCACAAAGTTTTCGAACGCCTCATCTTTATCATGTGAATGAATAAGCTTATATGCGATCATTCTACGTGTACTAAGTATCCTCCTAGCTTCTGCTCTGAAAACTACGCCATACGCTCCGTGGCCGATGCACTGCGGGTCAATTAGGTCATTGAAAGAATAAAGCTGGATTCTTCGGTCTTTAATACATTTTCTTAACCATTCTCTACTGTTATTATTAACGGCAACTGAGGCCATGCTTGTTGCTGTTCCTGTAACAAGTCTTCATCGTTCTAATATGCAGTCGGGGAATATACCGAAAACGGCAACATGTGATTTGCGTGGTACAGAGTCTAACATGAAAAATACGCCAAACTATTCCTTTTTTGTAATTGTATGAGCCTCAAACAATTACTGCCCGTTGAGGACTTGCCATGGAATACATATGAAGCGGCAAACAATTACCCATAACCAACAAGTGACTTTTCACATAATTAGCGGAAATAAATCATATACCGAGTCAATAACTCTCCAAACTGTTTAATAAACATGATGCATAATTGAATAAATTTACCTTGTTATAATATGGCCATATGTGTCTTGTTCATTATTTCACGCAGAATTGCATAGATATAGACTATATAAGTGGATACTATTCTCATTCCAAATAAGAATAATCTGTCGATCATCGAGTTGCTTATTGTTGGCCATTTACCAGATAATTCTTTATGTCCGCAGATACTCACCTCACGAGACTACATCGCATCGAAATAGTTTACATGCAGGGCAAAGTCCATATCGGGAATAAAGAGTTTTATTCGCAATCATATGATAATTATGTTTGGTAAATCCAATTATGAGTCAGTTGCGTCTCTCGGGCCATTTCTTATACCGTTTAAAGTGATTGACATTATTATTGTACGTCTGTTGACGTGGATACCAACATGTTGACTAGAATATACTCACTCTTTCATCACTTCCAATAGTTGGCATAATCGTTGTGTTACATCGCACAGCACACTTTAAATCACCCCTCTCCGGCGGCTCATTACCCGACAATTATTTCGAAGTCTGTTCTATGCAACCAGGCAGGCAGGTAAAAATAAACCCGGTAAGCAATTTAAGCGCATACTGGACTGGGACACATCACTCTGGTGGTACAAATGTTAACTGTCACTTATTGCAGAAGAACGCTTTTTCTATCTTGATCAACAAGAGAATATATTTTCAAAGAGCATACATGGAATGCGTACACGAACCAAAAATGAGAGGACAACAATATATTACAATCGAATTAAAAAGAAAATGGCTATAAGAAGGTAGTAAAAGTCTAATTGAAGACACATTTGTACATTGATGCGTTAGAGGCGAAAAGAGCCTCTTTTTTCAACTTTCCCTACTGACGAGGTTATCTTTCTCCCCCCACCCCCGTAGCTAATACGGACTTCTATTCCTAGTTACCGAATCCGACCGCAACACCTAAGTAGAAAACGATGTAAGATTAACAGTATGAAATCAGACGTTCAAACAGTCTAAGCAGCAAGTCGCTAAACAATCTGATTATCGATTAACATGATGATCCAATCTCACATTCTCTCGTTCATCTCCCCAATCCACTTACCAACAGTAAGCAGAACCATCACGACAAGAATGAGTGTTATAAAAGCAACACTCCAAAGCTTTGACGTTGGTTTGCCGGACTCGTCCAACCATGGCTGAGACCAACCAGAAAGTTTACCTACGAGGAGAAAGGTCGGGGAGTCCGTTGATTAGTATGGGAAGCAGAGGGAGATTGATATTTCGCTGACGGCTTAATTCCATCCATTTTTCACCTGGTATGCGATCACCTTCGGTCGGCTTTCGTTTCGTAAAAACGCCTTCTCTCTCCGTCTTACTTACAATCTCCCAACTCTCTCTGATGGTTTTTATGTCTTTTGTATTCACGATTATGTCATCTCTTCGTTGGAACATGCTACTGAAAAGGTGCTTCTCGTGGATCGATTGGGAAACCTTTTCCGGGTCAACGCTCGTAGGTTTACTTCTAATGTTATCGTTAATTGACGTAGGCCTGCTCGAATATACTGTTCTATCCCTCGGTTTGTTACCCTGAATACTGCTTCGTTTATCTGTTTTACTTATTTGACCACTCCTCAACTTCTCTATCACATGTATTTCACTCATACTCTCTTGTTCTTTGAAAGCGCTAATCCCCTTTTCCATACTTTTTCTTATGTTATCCTCTTCGCTCTGCTGATTTTCCATATCTCCACCACTGTGATCAACTTTATCACTCTCACTGTCTTTATCGATTCCCTCAACAATGTCCAAATTCCCATATGTACTGTCGATAATCACATCGCATGCCTTATTCTCTTGCCCGTCTACGACAAACGTAGAGCTAGCCACCGTACGCTCTGCATAATTGTTTCTTGCGACGATGGGAACTCCACGTAATTCGCCATGGGCTGCAAGAACCTCGGGATATACGTTCATTAGACGTTGTTGCGTCGGATATGATGCGAGAAGCGCTGGTGGAATGGATGGTATTGGAGGTGACAGATGTGATGGCAGTGAGTCGGGAGACGGAGGCGATTGCGTCGAGTATGGGTACAGAGGTGGAGAGGGTGGTATGGTCAATATTGATGGATAGATGAAGGAGAATGGTGAAAATAAGGATGATGCTTCGGAAGACGATGATTCGGCTGCAGAGAGTCGACCCAGTGATCGTGATTGTCGACGAGATTGTGGACTGGCTAGCGGACTAGACAGTGACCCGCCCGCGGTTGATATAAAAGAACTTGCTATGGATTGAGGTTCAAACAATGAATGTGTCGATTGTCGTTTCGTGTCGTGTACAATGTTATACGTAGTCGTACTACGTATATTATTGTATATTGTGTTATCTGCTGATGAGCCGTCGTCCATAGTCTACAGGTACGAAGAATAAAAGCGATCCTTTTTTGCAGTTCACTGAATGTAAACAAGCATTTACAATGTATGATATTAGTATATATATATATCGCTTATATTTTCCAACAACGGTCTAGCCAATGCGGCGGCAAAATAACCTGAGAGTTATTACGTTCTGGAGTCTTTCAATAATCTTGCAAATTTTAGATATTGTCCATGAAAACAATAGCAGGACGTCAAAGCGAGACAAATTCGGACGGTATACATCATCTGCCTTATAGTAGGTCAAATCGGACGTCGTGAGTAATTGACTTTTTTGCAACTTTATTTGGAGGAGGAAAGCTATTGGAACAATTCTAGTCGATTGCCTGTTGAGGGATCGATCGTAGTTGAGCTATTAATAGCATTGTTACGTATCGTGAATCATGCTGAGGCAAGAGAGTGGGGTGGGAGTGGTTCTGCTTATTAGACTGTCACAAACGTCGAGGTAAATGACTATTCGGTGATTAGTATGGGCATTTCAGGTCTTTTTCAGGGAACCATATAGATGGTTAAGCTTTTTTTTTTCCTTGCGCCAGAATATGGAATAAAGGTCATGACTTCTTTGGCGTGTAATGAAGATTTATAATGGAAAATAGACATAAGTAAATTGATTTGAAACTTGTTATAACTAGAATGATTCAGTACCATATATATACATAGAGCAAACCTTATAGTCTTCTTATTTTAATTATGAAATTCGATAACATATCTTAATCATGCCATCTTAATTAGTTTGCCGCCATTTTACATTCGCGCGCCACTCAAGCCTCCCAACCCAAGAAAGAGAGGGATTGCATTAACATTAACGAGACTTTTCTAAAAAGAGTCTGCTAAACAGATTAGACAGACGCATTTTTCAGGTACAAACATTTTCATACCTCAAGGCTCCCTAATAAAGTTCATACCCCTTATTGCGCACATGTTGATTACATTGAGCCCTTGTTTGTTCACATGTATGAATTCCAAGAACGGAATTCTAAAGAACAATGTAAACTCACTGTCGATCGGTCATAATGCAATACATTACCCTGCATTGGCCATGTTATATCGATCGAACGCAAATGGTGAAGAACGCAGCAGTCATCCTTTTCACGGATAAATTATTGGTTTTCAGGAGACATTAAGATTAGCGAATCGTATAACTAGCAACTCTGTAGCCTATCATTTAAACGCTCAGTTATTAATTATGGTTTTTGTGAGACCAAAACCATGAATATTTACATGTAATCTACATGTGTATCTACATGCATATTTGCAATGTATACTACCATATGTATATATCATCATGAATCTTTTTCTTATAAACAGAAACTAGATTAAGGTTCTAATTTCATAATAGTTTTTTAGTTAGAGTTACGTTTTCACGGCACTTTTAATGGGGGGTTTGAATGAAATTGACTCAAACATGATTGACATCCTGCATATATACAACATCGTGAATTCATATCTCCTGAACGATTATATGTATATGACCATCTTGCTTGCCTTGATACTTGATTCTACCCGTTACGTGCGACTACATACAGAATACTACGGGGAAAGACGAATAGAACAACGTCTGTAGATCAGTTTTGGCGCCTTAACGTTGCATGCGTTGTATCTCAGTTGGGAACCTGTCTTAGTCTGAACTGAGTAACTGAGTTTGAAATTGAGACACAACACATGTTATATCCAAGGATCAATCATAACCGACACAAGTTTCAATGTTGAACACGAAGCGTGCTTATTTCTCATCTTGGTGACAAGCAATGTTTTTACAATTTCTCTCGTACGCGTACGAAAAGTCTTCAAAAATTTAACAATTTGTTAATAATTAAACTCAATGTGTACCGAATATGTCTTTTATTCAATTTTCACATACTGATAATCAATTGAAAAAAATCAAGAACCGATATACACCAGATTTTGTTAGAATAAGAACAACTGGTGTGTACGTGCAGAGTCGAGTTTGCCGGAGAAATAATAGTGCTAAAATATTTCTCTCGAGAAACTATTTTACATAATGCTTGTAAAGGAATCGACACCAGCCCTTGATAAAGAAATAATTGATAGGCCTCGATAAATTTTCTTTACAGAGCATAAACATTATCCTTCATCGTAGTGAGGTGGTGCATTATTGGCGTTAACTTATTACTTAATGCATAATCCACAACAACATTATAACATTAATTGTAGTGACCAAAGCGTAGCAATCGCTTCTCTATAAGTGCAGTCTATTAACGTACCAATTATGCGTGATTTTTCAATCAACAAATATGCAGTAAGTAGCAATGGTGAATCCATCCAAGCACAGTGTTTTGAACATAATCTCTATATTTGGAAGTAAATTTTAATCAAAATTTGAACAAGAATGTTGTTATTACCAAAAATCACGGGCATATTTCCTATGTTCTAATGAACAAAATACGCCGATTGATCGAAACCTAAAGTTTATGAAAATATTTGTTATTCTTTTTCGAATCTTAAAAACAGGAGAACAACATATTTTAAGCCAGTTAGTCCAGACGCAACAAGTTATAAACATGTACACTTTAAGGAATAGTTTTAAACTAAGCGTTGACAGTGCAGCGCAATCTTACTTGGTTTAACTTGAAAACGTGACTGTCAAAATAATGCTATTTGTGTGACAGTTCGATGTTCTATTTGTCGTTCTAAGTAATACACTTCACTTGTTATTATACAGCAATGCGCGGTTCTGTCAATTATTAACAATACTTTATTTAATCTTTACGCTCGAAACTTGTTTAAATTATTCTAGGCAATCAACTTTTTAAATTAGCCGCGTCCGAGAGAAATGCGTTTCTTAATGTAGCAAAAAGGTTCTACGTTTTCTATTGTTTTCCAAGCAAGAGTTTGGCTTTGCCAAATTGACGTATCTATTTTTCCCTTACACAATACGAACTTGACAAACTAGTGCCACAAGCGTAATACAATGATTGAGAACGGAGGATTTCTGTCTCTCCCCGGAATTGCTACTTGGCATGCATTTCAAATACAATGATGTTAGTTAAGAATAATCAAAATCAGGCAATTGACGATTTGATCAAAACTAGTCGTAAAGAATGGATTTCTTATTCGCAAATAACCAACCTCGAATCAACTCAAACTGACAACATTTACTGCGCTATCCGCAAGCAAGCGGGTGATAATGGTAGAGTTAGCGAAAGCAAGATAATGTTACTACTAGTTGGAAGCAAAGAGACATTTACACCAACACTAGTAAGTGAGCTTACCAGAATATACTCGCTTCCAACAGACGAATACAACGAGGATGTCAGTCACTTTAGACGATATAAGAAATGGCTTGAGAAACGCAACGAACTCATAATCGGATTTACCGTGTATGACAATAATTACTACATGGTTGCGAATAAACTCTTTTACTACTGTTATTCCCGATATGGATTTTGCACTGCATGCAAGATACTTCGATGTAGCCCTGTGTGGTGCGTCTGCGGACATAAAGAGTTATCTGCCGAATGGACCAGCAATGATAAGCAACTCGATGATCTTATTAAGAAATCTCAAGTACAAACAAACTCGGCAAATGAGGCCTATTTGGAGTGGATTCCATTTGATTGTATTGATGATATGCGAGATGGATATGCATACTTGTATGGTATACCTATTACGGGTGGTTATGCGGTAGTTAAATTGATTACACTCGAGACGGTTGATTTATCTTATGATAAGGTAAGTATTCAATTACGACTACAATATGTTAATCTGTTGCATTGATAAAAGTTGACTTGTGTATAAATTTACGTAATTAGCATTCAGATATTCTCACCACAAATGTTTGGATTACTGTCGGGTTTACATACCATGCAAGTAAACGGCAGTATTGTCTCGTAATAGACTTTGGAGAGGTTGGCTTCTGTCTGGCATGCACAAAACGGTTAGAGCCCAAGATAAAAGCATTCTGTTATCGTTGTAAAACGTCAAGACCTCTTGATTGGACTACAGGCACCAAGTCGCTGGACTCGTTTATAACAGAGTCATGGAAAAATACAAAGAATGTAGATAATGTTTACATACAATGGATGAATACTCTCTGTTGACTAATATACAAGAAGTGACATTATTATGCCACGGAGGCACACATATAGCAAATTGGTTTGATGTGATAACAAATGAATTGACACGAGTGGTGCTCAAAAAGGTAGCTGACGGGCAGCATGCTCAGTGCTTTGATTTTTATCAGGTAAACTATTTTCCATCTCACCGATAAAAGAATACTAAAAGTTTTTGCGTTGACATTAAATTTGTATTTGTTTGCTGGCATAGCTGACTGAAGATTATCCAGAGATATTGACTCCAGACAATATTTGGGTTATTGGTATCACCCAAGAACCAATTACAAATGACTATTTTTTGGTGCTCTACCATGACATACGTGCACTATTGAACAGAGTTATGCTGGTTAATAATGGCACGTTTAAGTATATGTCTTACACTGACTTTGATGAAATTGAGAAAATTGGATCTGGTGGCTATGGGACAGTCTATACTGCTAAATATAAGAAACATTTGGAGCAGCACATGCCAGAAATTGTTGTCCTCAAACGTTTCAAGTTTTTTGATCAAGTGTCAGAATTATTTATTTCTGAGGTAAGCAATATTAATATTCGATAGTATAAATTAGGATGGCATGTATTTATTTGACTCTGTATTATTTTAATAGTTTAGAAACCACATCAAGTGTGTGAATGGCAGTTTTTTATTCCTTGCAATTTATGGGGTGACGCAAGACCCAGAAACAAAAGAGTACATTATTGTTATGCAATACGCTAATAATGGTAGTCTCTTGTCTTATTTGGGTCAAGATATTAACAAATTGACGTGGAAGGTGAAATTAGAGTATTTGGGAGATATCATAGTCTACCTGTGCGTTATCCATGGTAAAGGAATTGTGCATTGTGATCTTCATGGCGGAAACATAGTTTTGCATGACAGAGGGTCCGAGTTCCAATTAAATCGCTCGTATATTTGCGATCTTGGTCTTTCACGATCGGCGAATTCTCACAAGTCGAAATCAACGGTTCAAGGCGTTTTGCCCTTTATCGCGCCAGAAGTCTTTTCCACTCGCAAATTTACTCGGAAATCAGACATATATTCTTTTGGTATCATCATGCATCTGGTTGCCACTGGTGAACCACCTTTTAGAGACAGGCAGTTCGATAGAGATCTAGTATGCGATGTTTTGAGTGGACTGCGACCACCGATGCCCGATTCAGCACCAGAGGAATACAAGAAACTCGCTGAGCAGTGTTGTGATGCTGATCCTGATAAGCGTCCAGATGCGGATTCACTTTGGAATTATATCAATAACCTCATTCAAGAGATAGGCAAGGACAATTCTGATAAGACTGTATGGAATGACGTTTATTATAATGGTGATGTAAGACCATTATCATGCTTCGAGAAAGAGAATAAATATTCTAGTATGCTCTTGCCTGCTGGAGATATGCTTAAGCTGAGAATCGGGTACGATTCAGCAGCAGGTATGAAGATTATGCATTGATTTATAATAGAGTCAACGCACAATATTAATACCGTCTCTTTTTCTATAATTTAGTAACTCAAAACTTTGAAATAAAACTGTAGTTTACTAAACCAGTTTATTCAAAGATTTATCCCTTCCGATTGCGTGTTTATAACTATCATGGCTGTCTGTCCGTAGTTAGAAAAACTTTGACGATTTTTACATACAAAAAATTGATACTGTAGTCGTCGTCGTATTGTGGTTTTCGTTAAAATTAATATTTAAATTTAATAAATGAAATATTAATTAGTATTGAATTTTCAGCTGCATGCAATAAATTAGACAGCAAATGGGGAGTACAAACTGTAGAGGGGAAGGGCGATAAACTGTGGAAACACGATAAGAATAATATCGGTTTTTTTGAAGACATTCTTTAGAAAATGAATACAACTGTGATACAAATTCTATTGTCGTTCAACTGACAAGAATTCGACCAATAGTAATAAATCGACGCCATCACATCATATGTGTTACCATCACGGAGATCGCTTGCCGAGATAAGGATTGTATCCCGGCATGTTATATGTAATTATTAATATGTTAATAACGCCCAATAAAATATATAGTCAAACAGACCACATTCTGATTGTATGGATTTTACCAAATTGAATTTTTCGGAAAAATTCCGTTCGGATAAAGCATCTTTGCCCGTTAGTAAGACGGGAGTCTTGGCTCTATATAACACAAAATCGTTTAAAGAAAAGAAAGCCTAGCTGCAAACGTTTTTGATAGCTACATAAGCAATTCAACTGTTACGTAAATCTGTAGTACTGTTTTTTGACAAGTCAATTGCAAGATACGCATAGTTTCAGATTTCTCTAGTCCGCAAGCCTAACTCTCGGGAACGTTGCTTCTCAAATCAACTTGTCTTGGCATTGCTTCCAATAATCTGATCAAACTTATATCTCTCTCGTCGTATATAAGTGGAACAGAACGTGATCTGGCATTCGCAGTTTTATTGGCTAGAATACAATTCGACCAATAAATATTTGTGAGAAATTTGCCCCCGCTTTAAACATGTCCCGTTTTGAACAATCAACATCATGTTCCCACGCACAATGATTGCAATTATTTCAGCTCACAAGTATTTGCTTCTTTCCCAATCTATTATCTTAACATACAACTCTATAAGTGATATTTGATAGGAAAACTCTGGTCTACTACTACTATCCCGTTTGTCTTCTGCTTGTAAGTTACGGATAATATACTAGCATTAGTCTGGGAGATTTTAGCGATAACTTTGTCCTGTTTGTGACACCATAGTTATGCATGGCTTTTTCAAAAAGGCAAATATTTATGTGAGACACGGGGGTGATCTTTGTTATAGTAATTACTTATTATAAAAGGTTATTGTTGTTCTACTTTCCAAAAAAAAAAATCCCGCTTAAGCAACGGCGAAGCTGTCAAATAAAGATCGCAAGTCGTCATTATAAGAACAGATCTCTGAAAGCATTATATCATTTCCAAGTATCCAAATGATTACAGTTGTAAATAAACTACTTATCTGTTACGTAAAGAAGAAAAAAGAATTCAATATCGATTGTCATCTTTTGGGCCTTCCAAATAAGATGACACACCCCCCCTGAGGCGCTATCGCGGCATCGGGTTATCAATTTTTTGTGGCTTTGCTAATATACCGTTTATCAAGCTTGAAGAATTAGCACATATTCATATCTTTTGCCTTAGTAGATTCCTTATCCGTCGAACATGCATATCTGATTATGATGGACCAATAAACATCCTCCATCAGCAGCCAACCCTCCGGTTGATAAAGATGCATGTTCTATGACGGATTAGGATTTCGTTTTTGTGGCAAAAGGACGATTCCCCTATCTAATATAATGCTTATCCCAATTATTAAATGAGTATCGTTATTAAATCAGGTCAATTTTTTTTACGCCCTGTTCGCTGTTCGCCGATTTATGCAAGATAAGGGAATGTTTTTTTCTAGAAACTTAAAAATGACCGTACCATTTATATAAAAACAAATTGCAAATCAACTACCCTAAACAAAGGGCTGTGTTTGACCTATGATCAAATGTGGTTAACACTTTTGTGGCATTCTTTATTTAGATCAACAATCTCATGATTGGACATGCAATATATAGATTACATCAACATGTGCTCAATGCTAATAAACACAAAAAGATCGCACTTCGCAGTTTCCATATCACAACAATAATAGATAGATGTGCACTTTGAGATTAGATTTATCAACCATCTCATCGTTACGATGCACAGAATACTGGATTTAGTCAGCAAATAAGGCTACTGGGTGAATCGGAATATAACTGACATTATCTCGCAGAGAGTGTTGAATGAATGATTTGTGTAAAGGAATCATTGGCTGAAACCGAACTAAACCAGCCATCATTATATAAGAGAGTAACAAACACACAAGTGGTAACTCACGCCATCCTCTTGGCTTTGCGAAACTTCATTCATCTCTATAAATACATACACTCTCGTCTAAATCAAAGAATTACCAGAGTTTTATAACTGAAATTCAAATCACATCCGACTTGTTACGCTCACTCATTTTCTTAATCATACACAAGGACAGGAATCAAGATTCCAATCATGACACACCACTATAGGAACCAACGCATATGTTTCGGCGTCCTCTTTTCATCGTTTATACTTGCCGGCTTAGTGTGCCTGGTCCTGTTGGCGATAGTCCATCCTCCACTAGCAGAAGGCGTCGTCAAAAATTCTTCTTATTCCATATCCAAGCTGTCCATCACGCCCGATTCCGCAACGTCCGCATCGATATCGATGACCGGTGAATTCGACGCTGGCCGAGATGGAGATGTCACGTTTACGAAAGCCGTCGTTTTCTCGGTCGACCAAGTAGACATTGGGAGCGTTGAACTCGATCCGATCTCTGTTACCAATGATAAAGGGACAATCGACGATCAAGACAAGACTTTGGCTATCACCAATTCAACTGCCCTGGGCGTTTTGGTACACAAGATATTGACTGACAAAGAGGTCGAAGTTACAGGCACAGGCATTGTTACTGTCCGCGCAATCGGAATAAATAGAGATGGGATTAGTATTGAAAGCCCGTTCAAGTTCAATGGTGAGTATATTTATCGAAATCGTTCAAGGCAATCTGTTTTGCGAAAAGCAATCACGCATTAAATTCTATGCCCGATTTCATTTTTTCCCTTTAATCAGGTGCCGACAACTTTGCTTCTTCGACAGCAACCGCCTCTGTAACAAACACAACCATCACCATCACTCTCACGCTTCAAAACCCATCATCACTCTCACTTTCTCTCACCGCAATCTCGTTTGATTTATCATACAACTCGGCCGTAATCTCTTCCCTCAATTCAACATCTCCGGTATCTATTTCAGCAAACAGTCCCACGACAATCTCACTCGCAGGAAACCTGGCATCAGGTGCGGCTGCAGATGATTTCAAAGCAAAATTGGCAGGTGGTGGTGCATCAGCAACCTTGACGACTACGAGTGCTGCAGTTACTGGAAAAGAAGACGGTTGGGTGAAGGCAGGTTTTACGGGTGTTAACGTTACCGTCACGATTAGCGCAAAATGAGGAATGTGTGGGCAGATTGATTCGCGCGCGACGGGAATGGGATGGGGGTCATCTAAGGAAGGAAACTACTGCAAGCTGATTGTATAAAGGCTATTATTGATATCATTGACATTTATTGACATTTATTGACATTATTAACGTTTATGGGACATTGTTTTATCCAAGTCTGGTATTATTTCTATAATCTCTTTTAATTTACTTTACCGCACGTTCTTTTGAACAAGTTTATTTGTACTCATATATACGAACATATACATACATATACACGTACAAATTCTCCGATATACTATATAAATAAATTATATAACGTAGAATCAGAATATTAAATATCTACACGTCTTGTAAATGGGTAAATAAACAGAAATCACGCATCTGTGCGTCTATTCCTTACCTGCAAATTCTCATGAAATGCACAATGACGCTCAACCCGTGTGATGCATCGAATCGGTGATATACTGTAATTCCTGTTAATATTAACGAGTTGCATGTGGCAAACCAGTTTATTGTGGCGTTCCGGATTTTAATCTTATTGGAGAGGTGTCAAACCAGAAAAGGGTAATCCGTTGTCACGTGTGTTAAAGATAAGCTTTTCGGCTAAACAAATAAGGAATGGAACCATTTCATGAACAATATGATCTGATGAAGAAGTTGGGCGTGGCGTTATGCCAGCAGGAAATTTGTGCATCAATTAAAAGGAGAAAGCTTTGAGACGTGATACGTGCAAATTAGATCTTATTCGACTCCTCCTTTCTACTAATCTTGTTGCATGCAATTATAGGGAATGTATGTTAATCTTAAAATACAGAAGTTGTAAGAACACAAAGCGATTACGTTCGTTTTATTCTCCGGTTCAATAATTATACAGTATTCAAGCGTGTATATTATTAACACTTTGTCTATGCCTCGTGACAACCGGACAATGTCCATCGATTGCAGGCTACGAGACATGTGCCTCAACACTCGGAAACATATAGTTTTGATTGGAAAAACCGTTCACCAAATTAATCGTAGATTTAAAATTCAGTGATATTCGCATCGATTCAAAAATGGCGTTTCTCGATATTCAATAATCAAATTTTGTGATTTAAAACAAATACGTATATTTATCAGTTGGCATAAATACAGCAAACATTAAAGTTCACTTCTTTGAGTCTCGATCTTCATGGAAACTGTAGTCGGTGTAGGCAGAAAAAGTTTTATTTGTCGGCCCGTACATAGATTGTCGACGCGGGGTCCGTATTATTTAAACTACCATAAAAGGATAACTTTGGAAGAATATTTGTCGGCACTAAAGACAAGAATTAATATACAACCATTTATGTTTTGCGCAGTATTCGTAATAATGATTTAAGTATGTATATAAATCTGGAATTATTTGGTGACGCAAATTATATGCCATGAACAAATTACAGTCGAACCTCATTATACCGAACTTCTATGGCAAATTTAACCAAATTTACTAGTTATGCCAAATTTCTACTTTATGTTCGCGACCTCTTCGTTATAACGAGGTTCGACTGTATGCAGAACAGAATTTGTCAGTCAAAGCATAACACATGAATTACGTTGTCAAGTGAGCAATACGCAATGCGCAATATAGAAATAATAGACTTAATTCTGAGAATAATAATCGTAAGGTCTACTACCACTGTTGCTCAGCAGTACGGTATATAAAAACAAACGCTTTTCCTCCTCCTCCACACTGCTACTACCGTTACTTAGTTTCAATTGAATGACCCTGCATACTGCTAACCAATTATCGTTGCCAGACGATCCACAAAATAAAGAGTGTTAAATAAGTTCGTGCAACGCTCAATTTTCTTTATATATACGTTGACGTTTTTTGAAGAATCAATTTAAATAAAACATAACAAATACGAAATGCCTGGTAAGCTTAATTTACATCTTATTAACAACGTCAACGAATGAGCATAATAGTAAGCTACTTAATTATTTAGACTACAGACCGATAGCGAAAGAAATATCTTGTTATGGATTACCATACGGATTATTTGGAGTTGGTAGCTGGTTTTTTGCTCTTATATGTACTATGAGAACGTTCGCAAAACCTTCAAAAAAACGGAGTTTGCTACGATCAGCCATCAAACTTGTCATGACATTAGGGCCAGTTATTTCATCATGTTTTACATGTAACGGAAATTGGGTTTTTATACTTATGGCGCTCGGAAAATTTGGTCCAGAAGCTCTCAAGCAGCTTAAAACACGCATTGTCATTTCCAAAAGCGATCCAGATAAAAACGAAAAAGCAAATAAACGACTTACTGGTACCATGAGGTGGTTCGCCGCCTTTACGACTATTTCCCTGTGTCTTGCCGGCTGGGCAGCTTTGGTTACGTTTGTCGTCATGTTACCCTCGGATGATCATGATCCCAAATGGACTGTGTGGATGAGCGTAATTATTTCTGCTATAATTTTTATATTAGTTCTATTTTGTATATCCATGTGCGTAGAACGTTGTTTAAAAGCTATGGGGTTGAATGAAGACGTTTGCAGCATTGCGGTAGCTTACGCTATTGCTGCTTCCCATGTCGTCTTTTCGCATATAATTCTCGCTGACCTTTACAAAAATTGGTATGGAATTCCACCTGATGTGTATCAGAAAGTAACAGCAATCATATTCGCTATTGGAATAAACATAGAATTTTTTGAAATATTAGAGTCTTGGTATGATAATATTACCTCTCAATCTGACTCTTAAAGAACACTTGTATTGTGACTTTTAGCACATTGTGCAGTTAGTACAATTAATTATCACTATGTTACATTATAATTATTATATATTTATTTATTTAGTAAATAAAAATGTGTGTTTTTGTTGTCGGCTAATAGCACGACTGGTACAGAATCTATAAAGTAGCGAGTTTATTTTTAAACTTTGTGTTCCTTTGACCAAATCGTATAAGCATTTACGAGAGCACCGTTTACGTTTTCTGTTACAGAATTTGAATTACAAAATAAATTATTGCATTATTGGTGTATTAAGGGAGGTCACAAACGGCTAATACTAACAATGAATAAAGCGTTTATAATCCGTGTTTAGAATTATTGTATCAGATGTC